ATGAACCTCCTGATAGTAAGAGCTGTTCAAGAGAAGAACACACTCCCTTGGATATTTTGGTGGAGTCTCCTTCTTTGGAGTCTTTAAACAGAGGCTGGATGGCCATCTGTTGGGAATGCTTGCATTGGTCTTTCTGCATGGCAGAATGGGGTTGGACTGGATGACCCTTGGGATCTCTTCCAACTCAATAGTTTTATGAAAACCCCTCCCCACCAGAGTTTCCCCACCCTTGCTGTACAGAGACCTGTGTTGCTTGCAATTCCTTATTTTTGAGTTCTTCCAGGCACTGGAAGACTCTTCCAAAGTTGAACAGAGCTATTCCCAGAGCCCAAGCTTAAAATCCGACGAATTTTTTATTAGTGGCTTTTGATACAGATACAATTTAGATACAGATACAATTTGGAAACATACACATTTAACAGTTTGGAAACATTTTGACATTTTAACAAGTGTGAGTGGTTAAAAACAGTTTCTTACATCATAGAAGCATTACAAAATCCAAGGGGAAAAGATGCATCACTCCTTGTCTGTTTTGTGTCTTCGGTGTTCAAATACAGAAGCAGTCAATCATACAAACAATTCTCAATTTTAAAAAGCCTTAGGGTGGAGGCAAAGTACCCGGTGTTAAGTGTGCAGGCACCCTCCTTGTCATACACATAAATCTAGAGGTTAACAATCGTACAAAACCTTTGTTGTTTCAAATAAGTAATGTTTGATGGGTTTGTCTAGGGGCAGTCTTTGTTCTTAGGCTGTTCAGCAGTCTCCCTAGTGAGCTAAAACTTGGCTGTATTGAAAGACTAGTAGTGCCCATAAAGGAGATTTGTTGTTCTTGTCTACATTGCCTCTGATGACATCAGGCTCTAACTTCCAGCTCTCCTACCAACAGTTCAGATGCAATATTTTGGGGGTAGAGGTAAGTCTACCCAATGGTTTCCAGCAAGGGCAAGAGGCCTTCTAGATGTTGCAGAACTACAATACCCATTACTCCCTACCACTGTTTGCATTGGTGAGGGCTATGGGAGTTGTGACCCTCTATCTTTCCTTTAGGGACAAAGCCACCTGATTCCAAATCAAAAGTGCCTTCAGCTCTTCTTTGAGAGGGTAGAGTGCACTGAACAATTGCGCTTGTGCCTTGATGGTAAAGCACTTGGTATTAACTAATAGCATTTTGTGATCAATCTGGCTAGCTGGTTTCCATGCACCAGAGATGAAGGGCTAGCCAATGGGAAGGTCATGCTTCAGCAGGTTGTCAATGCCTTATGGAAACAAACCAAACAAACATCACGCTGGACACTCCTCTTCAAGACAAGTTCCTCTAAATTCCTGCATAGACTGGGGGTGATTGTGTGAAAACTTAATACACTAATCTTTATGACATCCTAGTGTCTATCAAAAACAATTTAAAGGTGAAGGTTGCAACAATGAACAAACAACGAATTACATTTTTAAAAGTAGTCTGCATCTAACCACTAAAACACACTATTAAAAACATCATCAAATCAAGGCCTTACATCCTAAAAAGTAAAACTTTTGCTAGCCAATGGGGAGATCCTGCTTCAGCAGGAGTTAGCAAAGCCTCATGGACCTTCTGCTATATGTCGGTGCTGTCCTCGTTGCCTTCTTCCTCTTCATCTTCCCAAATAGGCTTCAGTGGACCCATGTCTCTTTCTTTCCCTAAAAATTCCAATACACCAGGGTCACCTCTTTTCAGAGCAGCCACCAGAGCAGACAAAAGATCTTTAGGCTCCGGAGGGGCAGAAGCTCCTTGTTCACTGGAAGGTCCTGGCAGAGGAGCTTGTCCTTCCATGCAGCGTGAGGCTTGTTCTTCCTTGGCACCAGCAGCACCATGGCCAGCTCCATCCACAACCATCTCTGGAGACGTGTCAGGCTGGGCAGCAGCACCATTCACAACCATCTCTGGAGACATGTCAGGCTGAGCAGTAGCACCATTCACAAAAATCGCTGGAGACACATCAGTCTGGTCAGCAGCAGCACCACTTCCACCTCTGTTCACGAAAATCACTTGAGACATGTCAGACTGGGCAACAGCACCATCCACAAGAATCACTTGAGATGCGTCAGACTGGTCAGCAGCAGCAGCAGCATCTCTTCCAGTTCTGTTCACAAAAAGCACTTGAGACATGTCAGACTGGTCAGTAGCCCCATTCATAAAAATCACTTGAGACATCTCAGGTGGGACAGCAACCCCACAGCCAGCTCCATCCACACGAATTGCAGAAGACATGTCAATGACCTCCTCTCCTTGGAACCCATGGTTCCTGAAACTCGACTGCCCAACGGTTGCATTGTCCCGGGCAGGAGGACGGGCAGGTGGTTTGAGGGGGTCCTCAAGACTGTAAGGTGGAGGATTGTCCATACGATGAGTTGGAGGGGGTGGCGGGCGAAAACTGGGTGGCGGGGTAGAGGACTCACTCCTTGATTCACCAGTTTCCAGATGGGCCGTTCTGAATCGATACAGCAGGATTTCTATACATCGCCGGCATTTGGTAAGCAAACGGCACGTCCACCAAAGAAAGAACAGAAAAACAACAAGTCCAAAGAACATCCACATCAGTTTTATCCCTTCTGGAAAAGAAAAGACAGTCATGGTCAGTCATGGTCCCAGCAGCCTCTAAGGATATAGCATATAATGAGTGTGTGTGTGCATATCATATATGTTATATAAATATCATATATATTTTCTTCAGCCACCCTAGACTGTGGAAAGGCCTGTCAAAAGAGTCTCAACAGCTGCATATGCTGTATGGGTTTAAAAGAGCACTGAAGACTAGTCTCTTCTGGCAAACTTATCTATCCAGATGATTTTTAAATGGTGGATTTTAAATGACACAAATTTTAGATGTGGATTGTTTTATTTATGTGCACATCTTATTTGTCCTTTTAAACTGATGTGTGTTTTAACAACAATATGTTTTAACTGTTGCTTGTTGTTGGCCCCTGCCTCAATCCATGGGAAGAGGTGGATAAGAAAGGAGAAGTGATCATAGAATCATAGAGTTGAAAGAGACCTCAAGGGCCATCAAGAGAAGGAAAAAGAGAAGAGGAGGAAGAACCATACCACCCTGAACACATTCAATTGCATTTGACTTTGGAAGCAAAGCAGGATTGGACCCACTTAATACTTGGATGGGAGTCCATGAAGCTGGAAGGTGACTGGTGTCTTTTAGGTGCCAAGTCAAAACATGGCATTTTATTAAAGCCTTTGAGGGTCTTCTCTTTTTAAGAATACAAGTTAACTATTGCATTTAACTATTTAACTAGTGTATGGCTTTAACCTGTTTAAAGCTGTTTAAGCTACATGACCTTATATATTTAAATGATATTTTAAAATTTACACTCTCTCAGCCTCAGGGGAAGTCAATGGCAAACCACCTCTGAACAAATCCCACCAAGAAAACCCCATGATAGGTTTGCCTAAAGGTTAACATACATCAGAAACAACTTGAAAGCACCCAACAAAAGCAATGAAGAGGGGAGAAAAATGAAAGAGAGACCCAAAAGTAACAGGTGAAAACAGGGAGATGGTGACCACCTTAAATCTCCCAAGGATCCTAGATTTCCTTTGCATGAATACCCTTACCACCCAATCACCCCATCTCACCTGGTATAGGTTTGGCTTGAAGCTTGCTGGTGGCCCTCTCAACACTGATGGTCAGTTCTATTTGGGTGGTCTTCCCTACTTGGGTGGTCTTTTCTACCTGG